CCGCGCCGGTACCGGGCCTCCAGGTGCGCCGGCCGCAGGGCCAGGGCTTTGCCGGCGTTGGCGGCGGCGGCCGCGGGCAGCCCCAGGCGCAGCTGGACGGCGGCTAAACCGGCGTGGAGCTCGGCTTTGGCTCCGGCCACCTCYGCTGACCACGGCGGGGGCCCCGCGGCCGCCACGGCCGCCCGCAGTGCGCGGGAATAGGCGCGGCCGGAGGCGCTGACCGATCCCCGGGACAGCAAAGCCGCGGCCCGGGCCTGGCCGGACGTCACCGCGGCCCAGCGGTCGGCGAGGGGCGCGCTCCAGAACGGCGGGGACGCGGTGAAACGGCCGAGGTGGACGGAAATGGCCGCTCCGGACGCTCCGGCCGGTCTCAGCCGCGCCCGCTCGCCCGCGGTCATCGTTTCCAGCGCCGCGTCCACCGCGCAGGCCCAGCGGCCCTCGGCCGAGCCCAACCGGACACGGAGCCAGCGGCCGCAGCCGGACAGCGGCGACACCGGGCCCCAGCCGGGGGGGGCGGGGCCATGGACGGACAGACGGACGCGGCACACGGAGCCCAGGCCGGGCCGGGCCACACCGCGGCCATGATGGACGGTCAGCTTGGACCACGCCCCGTCCGGGCTCTGCCACCAGCGCTCGGGGTCATCATCAGCATCAGGCCCCGCCCCCTTGTCCTTAGGCCACGCCCCTCTGTCCTCAGGCCCCGCCCCTCTGTCCTCAGGCCCCGCCTCCCCATCCTCAGGCCCCTCCTCCCCATCAAGCCCCACCTCAGAGTCATCAGACTCCGCCTCTGAGTCATTAAGCTCCGCCTCCGAGTCATCAAGCTCCGCCTTCCAGTCCTCAGACCCCGCCCCCCACACATCAAGCCCCTCCTCCTCCGGCGCTCTAAGCCACGCCTCCTCCAGCGACCAATCCCAAGGGTCTCGCGCCTCATTGGCTGCGGATGGCAGMGGTGCCAGCTCATTGGTGGGATCCTCAGGGGGCGTGTCCTGGTTGGGCGGTGCTGGATTGGCTGGGGATTGGCGGGTGCTGTCCTGATTGGCTGCGGATGTGGGTGCTGTGTCCTGATTGGCTGGGGCTTGTGGCGCTGTGTCCTTATTGGTGTCCTCATTAACCGGAGATTTGCATCCTGCGTTCTCATTGGCTGGGGCTTTGTGTCCTGTGTCCTCATTGGCTGTTACTTTGTGTCCTGCATTCTCATTGGTTGGGGCTCTGTGTCCTGCAACCTCATTGGCTGGCTGCGCCCCTTTGCTGCCATTGGTCAGCTCCCGCTGCTCTGCGTCCTCATTGGCTGAGCCACAGCTGCTCTGCCCCTCATTGGACAAACCCTGCAGCGAAGCGTTCCCATTGGCTGCCTCGCTTTCCCCATCTCGTTGCTGATTGGTCGGCGCTTCCTCAGCACGGCCGCCCTCATTAAACGCTCCGTGAGGCGCCGCTTCCCCATTGGCCGGCGCTGCGCTTTCCATCTCTCCCTCAGCCAATCGCGATTCTCCTGGAAGAGAGGGGGTGTGGCCTAGCA